TATGCGCATAGCTACCACCGTGACTGTTGGAGAGATAGACCAGGTAATAGGCATCCGGCCTTAGCGTCCAAGAAGAACAAGAATAAGCTTAGATATGGCCTTTCGAGGACCCGGCCGATGATGACAGCAACTGGTTTAGTCGTAGTAAGGGTTCATCAGCTTGCATCCAGGGAAATCTATATCTTGGTAGTTGCGATAGCTCCCCACCAATTCAAGGAACTTCTTCTAGAGTATGCCGTGAGATGACACACCAGGCCCATCGCAAGATGCTCCCGTCTGGCAGAGGTTGGTTCCCGAGATGGGTTTCCGAGATGAAATGGCTAGCATATAGTGGATAGATGATGGGAATTGGCTAGAGGTGAATGTCCGATGGGGATGTAAGCAAACTACTTGGGTCTATAAATGGTAGGTGTCGCCATCATTTGGCCTTGACATAGGTTCTCCGGACGCATTCCTGCTTCTACACTTGCATCCTCATTGGAGCGGAGAAAATATGGAACTGGCGATTCAAAGATCATAGTTGCGAAGCGTTTCTGACTCGTTGGTAGTTATTCACGGGCGGCATGAGTCAGTAGAGGTGAGCCACACTCGGGGCTGAATAAGCGCCAAGTTCGAAAGGTCCAAGATGAAGAAGAAGACAGATATGGCTTGACAAATGTCCTTGGAAAAGGTCCGAGGGTTTGGTAAGCTGTGGGTGGAATTTTGACTGCACAGTGAAGGATCGGGGTGAGATGCGAGTCGTAGATCCTGAGCTATATTTATGTTTTGGCTAGATCCACTGACCTTCCTTCTGAGGGAGGCTGAGTGAGGGAGAGGAATGATAGGATATCTTCATCGCGACGTTTTTTTTTCCACATCTATATTTTTTTCTCCGGCTGTTGAAGAGACAAAATGGGGTTCAACCCCACCATGAGGGGCCGCTGACCAAAGGGTAGCCATCGTGCAGCTAATCTGATGGATATACATAGTATCTTCAAATACCTACTTGCATAGGTGTGCCTACCTACACGGCCGTTATTGTGGAGAATGGTCTCGGGCTGAGTCGAGGATTGCGATGCTGCGACGGCAATTGGCGAGTCGGTCCTCGAAGGGAGTGATCGAGGCACCGACCGAGCTCGCTGGTAATAATTGGGACAATATGTACGTTACTGCATGCCCGCATGGTCCAAAGAGGCGGGCAGACGCAAGGGGTGGATGGTGGACCGATCTCTCAGAGATGGACGCGTGTTGTCTGCTAGTATTAGCCTCCCCACCAGCATCCATCATCCATCCTTGAGAGCCAAGTCGAGCCAGGCCACGATGTAGGCAGGTCAGGTCAGGTCAGACTGCCACGGTCTGCCAAAGGGCCCTTTGATGCTTAGGTAAATCGCTATCACATCTCACCGCATACTTCTGCCCCTCGTCACGGTGCGTTCTTGTACCGTCGGGCGGGGGCGGGAAGAGCTCCCATTGTGCGCTATTCCATGATCCCTTGTGAGGAGGGCATTGGGTGTGCAAGATGCCGAGCCAGAATCTCGGCGTGGATTGCGACTAGCAACAGTCACCAGAAGCCATCTACCGCCAAACACCTCCTTATCTGGTATTGGGAGAGGAATAGGCGAGTGTGATAATTAATAAACCGGCCATCCCTTACTATGGACGGAGCACTACTGTACTATCACCACTCTACTAAGGTACTTGTCGACACTAGTTGGGCAAGGGAAAGGGGGGGGAAATTGGACAATACGACCCCACGCTCACCTAGGTCGGACAGTGCCATTCGTTTTTGGCCAGCAGCTCATCCTATTGTTGTCACTCGGTCAATAAGTAATAGCCATAATACAACATTCCTCGTTGCTGAAGGCTCAGCGCCTTGTTGGTGGTCAATACCCTCGGGATGGAACTTTGGCTCATTTCCAGCCGTCTTGCGTGCTGCCAACATTCCCTGCCGTAAGGGCAATCGACAGCGTAGGAGGTCTTGGTTACTTAGCAGTTGAAATAAACAGCAAAATCGCGTGTTTTCTGTGCGGTATTGATATCAGAAGGTCAGCCCTGTCCAGGAAGGGAGGGGAGCATCCAGGTGGGAACAAGGGTCGCTGGAAAATGTCAAGCCTGGGCTCTGCTAAATATTGGGTCGAGCGTACATCACGTCTCCCTAGTGAGGTGTGTGTGTAGGCATGTACAACACTAAATCGCTTCTGGTCATTTTAGATCTTAAATAGGACGAGAAGACGTGGCGGTAGTCTGGATAGAGGCGGTGATATCCACGGTGATATCTCAGAAGGCGTCAAGGATTGATGTCGGGAGAGGGTTTCTGCAGCACAATAATTTTTTCTTTTTTCTAATCCCACTTGCAGAGGAATCTCCCCGCCGAGCCTGCCTCGGGCTAGAGGCCATGTACTCGGGTGGAGGAAGGTAGCAGCAGCAGGCGAGGCTGGTTGGCTGTTCCCCATGGAGTTCAGGTCGGGTCACCGCCAATTATGCCCCTTTGCCGGGACAAGAGGGAGGATGTACCTGCCATAGATGGGCACTGGATGGGTGGATGGATCGGATGGAGGTTTCGAGTCCGGCCATGGACCCGAACGAGACACCTGAGACGGGCGAGATGCCGGCCTGTCCAAGAAATCTACGAGTACCATGTACTTGGAAAGCCGACGTTTTGTTGGAAAGGTGTTCTTGCCGGATGTCAGAAACCTGCAGGCTTACCTCAGGACAGACTTGGAATGCACATCCTTGCGTATAACCGTGTCGATGATCTTACATTAGAAGTTTATGTTTAGTTAGCGGTGTCCTGACTGGTTATGCAGCCTGTGCTAATAATAAGCCTGCTAGCTGCAAACGCCATGCAGGTGGAAGAGCAGCGGCGTCGCGCGCGGGTCAGGTCCGTTTCTTGGGACTCCAGAGAGGATGGAGGGGGGTGAGACTGAAGAATTTCATGTACACAGAGGCATCGCAGTAGCAGAGCAGACGCAGGCGCACATCGGCGATGTGAGAGCTGAGCTGGATCACCCAGAACTGATCTAATTATACCATGCCAGCAATGTCACGACTGCGTTTTCGATTGATACGAGTGCTGTACAATTGGTGGCTGTAGGTAGCATGTCGCAAGGTGATTGATTGATGGATGGATCGTTTCCATGCGGCTAGCATCTACTACCTTATTACCTACCGGAGTCTTCCATGGCTGGATAGGCTGCCTCCGAACATACTGCACGCAGGCACGCGGCGCTGCAATTGATGTGCCTACAGTCACCGGCGTTGGTACGTGTTATCATCATTGTCCGTGAGAGAATTAGGTAGGTCCTAGTTCACAACGGCCTCGGAGACGGGAAGAGTTTGGGGTCGAGAACCCCCTGGACGCTGTGCATGTCCCGGCCGGGTGTGCACTGTGTGCCTGGGCTGCACCCAACAGGGCCCTTGCTGGCACTCAGGATGGAGGAGGTATGGATGAGTGAGCTCCATCCCACCCCCTGAACCCCTGCCCGCTGTCATTAAACTAAATAATATCCAGCACGACGAATTCCAACCTCAACCCCATTCTGGGCAATTGTCCACTCGCCGCACGACCCCCCCTCTGCCTTTCCTCTCCTTCTCTGCACGCTCTCTTGCCATTCCCACCGCTAGCCTCCTGCCCCCCTTCACTCTCTTTCACTTTCGCTAATCCGTTTTTATTGCTCATCTTTCTTTCTCCCGCTCGCTCTTTTCGAATCCACACCCCCCAGGTGCAGCTGCCGCGCTTCTTCAGTCGCCTTGCCTTGTCTTGCGCTCACCCGTTGCTTGGCTATCCCCGGCCTTGCTCCCAGTTTCGTTGACCACCTTTCCAGGGTCCCCTTTTCCCTTTCTTTGTCTTCCTGCTTTTCCACTCCTAGAAGCCACTACTTCTGTTCCTTCCTGCTCAACGGTCCAGAGTCCGCATTTCTGCTCTTCCTGCTTCGGATATATCCTCCTCTGCAGGACTGCCGTGCCTTCTCTTCTGTTTCTACGCACATTGAGACAGGAACTGGTGGTAAGATACCCTCTCTTCTTGCTTTGGACCTGCCATTGTGCCTGCCCATCCCCCTCATGGTAAGGAAACCCGGTTGTGCTCCAGACCCCAGGGTCTGGGACCCTAGGACCAGCTCCCCAAGAGACAAATCGCCAAAACCCTCCCCTCTGTCCTCTCTCTTCCTCCAAGATCCTCATCATCCTTCCCGGTGACCCTCCCGTTCCGCCCGCCTCCCTACCTGATCATGCGCCTCAGCCTCTCAGCTCTGCGACCTTGCATTTGCTCTCTCTCAATCCCTCTCTGACCACTTATTATACAGGTGATGACTTGCGCTGTACCGTCCTAGCATCAAGCTTCTTTTCCCTACTTCTACTTCGAACTTGCTCGTCACTCGCTCGACTTATTTATATACATTTTTATCGTCCTTTTCTTTCCGCGCGCTCCATTGAGACCCAACCGACAGTGTTCGCCTTTGTTGGTTGAGCTCCCGCTATTTGCCTCTCGCATAACATCTGCCCGGACACGCAACCGTTGATATTATACACCTTTGCCTTCTGGACAATATATTCTTCGCACTGTCGTTACAGACGACCTTTGGCTTGCGTCAGCTCACTTTTCTGCTTTGGCTCTCCACCATTCGGGGATAATACTTTTCGTCAAGGTTCTGTTGCGATCGAATATTTGGATATACGACCTACATTTCAAGTCCATTGAGACTACTCAGCTCAGGGACTCTCTATTTATATATACTTTTTGACCCCTCAAGAGCAGGATAGCTTTTAAACTCGACAAATCTTCTTTTCCCCGGTTTCGAGGACAGATCCGACTACCGTTTGACCTCTGACGGCTTGATATCACCTAATTTCTAGCTGGACTTGGTTTCGTTTCTGCTCAACTGTCTTATTTGTGATCAGCTGGATACCGGCTGCTTTACTAGCTTTTTCTCCGTGCCTTTGTCAGGGCACAGTTTGGATTCAAAACGGCGACTTTAGCTCAAGTTGGGAGGGACACTCAGTTCCCCCTTGATTTTCGCAGAATGCAGGACTTAAACGGTGCCGTAGGCCAGAGGCCCAGCGCCGGACGACTCGGTCATGTATCGAAGCCTTCGAACAGCGAAACCGGATTTTCCCATGGTGCCTTTGCTTCGAATGTTTCTGGCTTTGCCGACCGCCACCCTCGTCGCGGAAACGTGCCCACATTGAGCGCCCAGGCAATGAACCAGGCCCAGGCGCTACCCACGAACGACATGCAGACCCCTGGAACAGGATTCGACATGAACTTCACTCCTCTCTTGCCGTCACAGCTCCTCCTTGGTAGCCCATTCCAGCCTGGAACGCCTGCCGCCTTCTCCAACGCTCAGTACCAAAATCTCACGAGCTTACAGCAACCGCACCAGGGCAATGGGCAACAAAACGGTGCAACCAGCCCTATTCAAGCCATGTCTCCCCAGACTTATCAGGCAATGGTTTCACCTTCAGCATACGGCGCTCCCCAATTCTACGCTCCACCTCAGTCACCGACTGGTACCTTCTCCATGCAGTCGCAGATGGGGCCCACCTCTCCAGTTGCAATGAATGCTGGAGCTGTCACTGGTACCAGCCGCACCGTGTACTTGGGCAACATTCCTCCTGACACGACTGCCGAGGAGATTCTTGGCCATGTTAGAAGCGGCCAGATCGAGTCCGTTCGACTTCTGCCTGACAAGAACTGCGCCTTCATCTCTTTCCTGGATGCCAGTTCCGCAACCCACTTTCACTCAGATGCTATTCTGAAGAAGCTTAGCATCAAGGGTCAAGATATTAAGGTGGGTTGGGGCAAGCCTTCCCAGGTCCCGACATCCGTGGCGCTTGCTGTTCAGCAGTCTGGGGCCTCCCGAAATGTCTACCTGGGCAGTTTGCCTGAGGAGATCACTTTGGAGGAACTCCGTGAGGATTTGGGCAAGTTCGGCGCCATTGACACCATCAAGGTCGTCCGTGAGAAGAACATAGCCTTTGTTCACTACCTCTCCATTGCCAATGCCATCAAGGCCGTTTCGCAGCTTCCCCAAGAGGCTAAATGGCAAGCTCCCCGACGAGTCTACTACGGCAAGGACAGGTGCGCCTATGTGTCAAAGACACAGCAGCAAAATGCAGCACAGTATCTTGGTATTTCTCCAGGCTACGCTCACATGCTAACTGGCGCTGACCGGGATCTTATCTCGAGCGCCCTGGCCCAGCAATCAGTCGCTGCTGCTGCCGTGGCCACAACCGCTGGTGGCATCAACAACTTGGGTAACCGAACTATTTACCTCGGAAACATCCATCCTGAGACAACCATCGAGGAGATTTGCAATGTTGTACGGGGCGGTCTGCTTCATCACATCCGATACATCCCCGACAAGCACATCTGTTTCGTCACATTCATTGACCCTACAGCCGCTGCCTCCTTCTACGCCCTGAGCAACCTGCAGGGCCTCATGATTCACAACCGCCGTCTCAAGATTGGATGGGGAAAGCATTCCGGTGCTCTTCCCCCCGCCATTGCCATGGCTGTCAGCGGTGGTGCGTCTCGAAATGTCTATATTGGTAACCTGGATGAGACGTGGACCGAGGAACGACTCCGACAGGACTTCACTGAGTTTGGCGAGATTGAGTTGGTCAACGCACTGCGAGAGAAGAGTTGTGCTTTCGTCAACTTCACCAACATTGCCAACGCGATCAAGGCCATTGAGGCAATTCGGGGCCGGGAGGAATACAAGAAGTTCAAAGTCAACTTTGGCAAGGATCGATGCGGTAACCCTCCTCGCCAGGGTCAGAACGGCCAGGCCGCCCGCGGCGACGGCAGCGTATCCCCTGCCCCGACCATCGATGCGCCCACCCCAACTACAACTCAGCAACAGGCTTCGTTTCCTCCAAATGGCAACCCTCTGACGATGTACCTTAGCCAATTGTCTCAGCAGGCGCACGAACAGCAGCAACAACAGCAGCAGCAGCTTACGGTGCAGCAGAACGCCCTGTTTGGCACCGCTCAGCAGTCACCCCCGGATCTGTCTATTGAGGTACCCCAACAGCCTCCCATCGGTGGCCATGGGCAATCGGCCAGCATCTCGAATGGCTTTACTGTGGCCAGTGCCGTGGCAACAACTGCTCCAACTATTGGCGGTCTTCTCGCTCCTAATTCTCGCTCTCAGCACAGCCGCGCTGTCAGTCTCCCACTGCTTGCTCCTGGATTCGAGAACGGCGGCACTAGCCCCAGCAGTGGCCCCGGTAGCAACGGAAGCGATGGTGAACGACGTGGGCACCAGTACCAGTCCAGCTTTGGTGGTATGGCTGGCGGCTTTGCTGGCCTCTCCCTTCAGGGAGGCTTGAACGGTTTGGTCGAAGAAGAAGTGGCAAACTAATGACCTGATTCGCAAAATGACGGAAATTTACATTGTTGTAATTGCCGCGAGAAAACGTCTCTGTTCTCGCTCTAATACTATCGACCTTCTCAATTTTTTTCTTTTTCTTTATCGGTAATTCCACCCTCCTTTTCCGGTGTATGATGTGTATTTATTGGATATTTACGTCTTGTTTCCTGCAATTCGTTTCCTTGCGTGCTACACAAATACGCAAGCAAGTGCGATCATTGTCAGCTACCTTTGAATTGGTAGTGGTCAAGCATGAGAGAATGTTGTGGACATAACGGTGTGAAAGGATCAATGAAACGCGGAAATAGTGTCTTGGAACAAAAACAAACGGTTGAAAGCTGTCACTTGTGCCATGTAGTGTATGGGGGAACGGTTTATAGCATGAGGGTCGTGGAGGTCGAGGGCAGTCGGCGCTATTGTCAGAATTCTCGGTATTGCATAGTTGTGTGCGTCGAGCTTTGTCTTCGCATTAGTATACTTTGTAAGCATAAGCAGAAAGAGTCTTTTTTTTTCAAGTTCACTATGTCCTGCACCTGATCAAACTGTTTGAAGTGAAGCATCTATGCATAAAGAGACGACGCCTGTTGTAATGCTCGAAAAGAGGAGGAAGAGAGAAAATCATGGGCAGAGGTAAAGACAGTTCCAGTCCCGATTCCATCTATCGAATTGTCTCTCTAGACTACCTAGAAGAATGAAGTGATTTGTAGCTTGTAACCAGAGCCGATTTTATTCCCGTTTATATGAATGTATTAAAAAAAAGAGGCACCAAAACCTATCGGGCTTGGTGTAGAATAGGTAGAAACTAGTAGCCTGCCGGCTCGGGCTTTGAGGGGAACGCCGGAGCGCCAGAGGCATGGCATTCCTCCCTCCAGTTCTCCGGGGTGAACTTGTCAACAACAGCTTTGAAGGTGGCCTGTTCATGGGTCTCGTTAGCTTTTATCCCTCGTATACACGTCCTATAAACGATGCGAGTTTACTAGTCAAAACGTACCAAGGTGCAGAAGGACTGGTCGCCCTCGAGGTGGTTCCCGGGGGCCTTGCAGGCGGGGATGGTGACGGGCTTGTCGTTGAACCTGACGCGGACGTGGTGGCCGTCGAGCTTCTGCTTCTCTGCCGGGGAGAGGTCCGGGGTCTTCTTGCGGCCGATGCCGGCGGCGGCGGAGGAGGAGCCGGACCTGGTGAAGAGGGAAGAGATCCAGCTGGTTGAGGAACTTGAGGAGGAGGCGGAGGGTGCCGGCGCGGAGGCGTGGCGGAAGAGCTCGAAGGCGATGTGGCTCGTGAAGGGGGGCCAGCCGCCCTCGAGGGCGCCGAGGCTGGCGAGGGCACCGGCGAGGGTGGTGTCGTGGCAGCCGCTCATGGCGAAGCGGATGCCGGGCGGGCGGGAGGAGGAGGAGGATGAGGGCTTCTTGGGCTGGTTCTCGCCGGCGGTGGCGGCGGCGGCAGCGGGGGGGTTCTCCGCGCTACCGGCCATGCGGGTGACGATGTCGCCCAGCAGGCCGCCGATGCCGAGGGCGCGGTACTCCTGGCTCTCGCGGTAGCCGGAGAACCACTCCTCGACGGCGATGTCCTCGATGATCTGGCGGGCGCGCGGGTCGTAGAACTCCTTGGGCAGCCTGGTGTCCGGGCCGTGGGCGTCGGTGGCGTTGATGGTGTCCATGATGCCGCTGAGGCGGGGGTGGGAGTCGACGGCGACCTTGGGGCTGTCCTCGGGCATCCAGCGGCCGATCTTCTTGGTCAGGTAGGCCATCTCGTCCGAGCCGTTCCAGCGGTCGGCGGTGCGCTGGGCGAAGGCGCGGGAGAGGGCGGCGAAGCGGCGGCAGTTGCTGTCATTGGGGAAGAGGGTCTCCTCGCCCGGGGCGCGGCCGACGATGGTGAGGGGCGGCAGGTCGGGGGAGCGAGTGTGGGAGGGGTACAGGCCGTGGATGGTCTGCTGGAGGGACTCGAGGGCGCGCGGGATGGGCGTCGTGCGGAAGTAGAAGGACTCGGAGGAGGTGAGGTTGGGCGGCAGGAAGCCGAGGCGGTCGATGTAGAGGTGGCGCAGGCGCCTGCCGAGGGCGGTGGTGGTGCTGCGGCCCAGGTCGGTGAGCATGCCCATGTCGCAGACGGCGTCTAGGTCGCCGCTGGGGCCTGCGGCGAAGACGGGGAGGTCGTTGGGGCCGAAGGCCTCGAGGCGGCGCTTCCACTCGAGGGAGGAGAACTTGCCCGAGTCGTCCTCGAGGATGGCGCTCCGCAGGTGGCGCGCGGCATTGCAGTACGACCAGTAGGCGGGCAGGCCAGTGCTGGTGAAGCGAGGGGTGACGGGCGTGCGTTCGCCGTGGCGGAGGAGAATCTGGACCAGCTGGAGCTGGAGCTGGGGAGGGTAGAGCTCCGCGAGCTCGGCGTCCGTGTACGGAGGCCTTGGCTGGAGAGTTGTCATTCTCTGATGGGGAGGAGGCGATGAGCAGGCCTGGAGACAAGGGGAGGAGGGGAGGAGGGAGAGATGGACACGGGGAGGTTGAGGTGTTTGGGGATCTAAGGGTTGGCGAGACGGAATGAAGCAGTCGGGATGAAGCTAGACCGATGCAACCCAGGCCAGACCAATTGCGAAGCCAAGGGACGGGCCAGAGGTTGTGGCATCAACATGTGAGCTCCGACTTTCGTCATTGGTGGTTGAGTCCGGAGTCCGGACATGGCAGTTGTTGAGGTTGGGGCGAAGGTACATGCTCTCACAGCCACGGGGGTATGTGGCCCGAGGTATCTGCCAAACCTTCTCCCACTTGCGGGAGTGCTACTGGATTGCGGGGGCCCCACCGAGACCGGACGTGAATAGGTAATAAGGCATTGATGCTTCTGCGCCTAAGCCATTACCGATCGTCAGGTGGCATCCGCGGTCGAGGCATGTTCGTGGGATGGGTGAGTGTGAGTGCGAGGGTGAGAGAGTACGAGAGTGTGTGTACAAGTCTAGTCGTTGGTATCGGGCACGGAGATTTACACCACATCCCGTTGTCAGCGGCTTCTTCTGAGCCGAGTTTAGGTAGGTAGATAACTTTGAGGACAAGATTGGGCAGCTGGACACGCCGTACGCCAGAACGGGAGTGCAGGGGTCCAGAAGCGGCCCTATGCATATTGTAAGGCACGGCGGTATTACAGGTTCGTCCATGTGGCAGCGGACGAGGTGACCGGAAAATCCAGTTTGGCTTCTGACGCTGATCTAATATTTTCCCATGTGGAAAGAAATGGCAATGGACGCCGGCGTGATTGGCTGCTGGCTGGATGTACGGTCATCCTTCGCTCATGGTCAGCTACACACAGCATTGCGCTACGAGCTTTGGTGGTTCCTTAGGCTAGTCGATAAGAAAGGCTCGAAACAGGAGTCCGCTCCCAGGGCCAACCGGGAACTTCAGCGCACCAACAGCATGGACGCTCACAGGCCGTTTCCAGCACAATACGGCGGGCTGAAGACGCTGGGACCCAATCAGCAGCCAACTGCCGTCGTTCTGTGTTGGCCCGTCATCTCGGGACATGTGCTTAGTGAGTGGCGCGGGCTTCTGGAATCGCCTGGGCAGCGTCCATGGTCCAGGTTCAGGCGGCTGGTTGGCCAGATCCAGCACACCGTAATACCATCCAATCTATCATGCCACGATGTCACCCCCCCTGGCGGCGCAATAAATAGAACCGTTCCTTGCAGCACCTGCGCACACACTATTATTACGATAATAATAGCAAATAAGCACGCGGCCGTCTCAACACTCTGGTTGAGATAGGAAACACCCCCAATTAATCTATTGCCTAGGTAGGCCGGTATATTAGATGACGTCTTCCCCATCAGGAGAATCCAGAGTTTGCCTTTTGCTCTTTTCCCCAATTACTTCATCACTCGTGCCGATCCGCCGTTCTGTGCCTCGCGCCTAACCCGATCCAAAGAGCGATTGGCTTCCATGAACACACCAAACAGCCTGCTTACCAGCCTGCACCGACTCGCTCGCCGCGCTTGACATCACCAGTTCAAGCGCCTTCCCAGAGGCTGAATACCGACTGCCTATTGGTGATTGCCCCTTCCAGTAATGCTGCGCACACAAATCCCGAAAAGGACGCTACAGATCACCAGCTGAGAATTGCCTTATCCAAATTGGACTCATTCCCGTGAGGCGCCCACTTTCGGCTGGCCTCCGCAGCTTCCGTCGACTGCTGCTAAGGTACTTATCAACCCTGCATTCTGGAACCTTTTCTCTCCCTCTCACTCACAAACGAAACCAGAGCTTGATCACATTGTTTTCACTTTCTATGAGCAAAATTGAAGCATGAATGCTGCTGTTGCGACCCAGCCTGCAGGCCAAGCGCCGCTCGATCTGGGCATCACTCTACCACTCGGCTCAGCCGGCCCAGATGATGAGTGCCGAATCGTGGTAGACGATGAGTATGACGACGACGACGATGAGGCCAATTTGCAGGACCGGGATGAAATTGAGGACCAGGATGGGGCCCAGGCAGTTCTCCAGCCGGCCATGAGTGCCACGGCGAGCCATCTGGCTTCGCCTCGCACGCCGGCAGTAGAAAAGGCAGCGGCACTGGAGAGATGGCCTGGTGGCGTATTAGGGATTCCACCGCCCATCGAAGATGACAGCGGAGACAATGACGATAACACAACGGTCGGGGATCCCAACTCGCCCATAGCAGCGAGCCTCGGCAGTCCTGTGAAAGCCCCGCCTCTCTGTGAGTCTCCTGAGCCGACCAGCCCTGCTCAGTTGGATGGACCGGCCTTGGAAGCCCAAATCCCTGAGACCAAACCTGGAAGTGAGCCAGCCAAAACCACTCCTCCGCCTTCTGCGTCGGAGGCCACGCCAAACGAGGTCTCCGGGCCAACTGATGGTTTCGATAAACCTATCAATCGCCCTCGTCGGCGGCAGTCAACTCGGTCACGGCATAGCATAGCCATCCTGGACTCGGCCTTTACGCACTCGAGGGAACGCTCCCGCTCTGCAGGACAAGATGCTCTGAGGAGACTGCAGAAG